ATAGGAGCAGAGAGGCTGACGTTTCGGGCCTAGACCCTTCATCAGAAGGTACTGCTCATTGTTGAAACTGCGAGCTCAGTTCCATGAGATAACATAAAATATTCACTATTTGAGGAATGGTACTTAAACTCAACATGTTCAGAACTGGAAGTCAAAAGAACATCAGTGAGGCAGGAAAGGGTATGATCTATAGCAGCCCTTCATTCTGTAAACATAAGGCAAAGTCATCGTAGCCCCAGAAGCCCATTGTGCTGCTCTTTGATCAGAGAGAGATGACTGGTGATGTTTTAACCTAAGGGTTACTACACCTCAGGTGAGGGGTGAGGTCAAGAAGGTGAGAACTTCATAGTGAATTGAACCTGTGCTGTTGGTGTCACTCTGCATCACAAACCAGCTGTCCAACCATCTAAGCTAATCGACTCCCTCTTCATTCTGTAAACCATCATTGACTGCTGAACATTCACTTCCTAATAATCAAGGTAAGCGTGAATGAGCAAAACTGTTTGATCTCCTTTGATTCATCTGCCCAGAACTCTGCCATCCCCTTTTACTGTGGTGTTTAGCTGGTCTTGAAATATTGCATATTTTCTTGCTGTGGGTCAACACAACAAGTACAAAATCAGCAATTGTACTTTGATGGCTTAAAGCTTGTGAAATGCACTATGTAAGTGCAAGTCTTTTGTTTGTGGGTATCGAATTACTGTGACATTTTCCAGTCATCGGTCCACTGTGATGGTGATGGCTGCCATTTTGAACTTACTTTGGCTGCCCTTAATTTTTAAGTCCCGCATCACATGCATTAAGTTCAAAAAAGCTGCACGGCTTGAACATATTTTTTCTTGGCTGTTGTACTGTTCTTGTGCATGGATGTATTCTGCTGTCAGAATCATACCTGCGGTTGGTACAGGGACCCCTGTCCCAGGGCTAGTCATACTGTACCTTCTCTCCTCCAACCCCACACCTTCCCTATGACTCTCCAGCTTTTCCTTGCATTCTGTGAATAGAAGGTCTCTGAGTCTCCCTGTTTAACTTTGCTGTGATTACCATTACCACTGTTTTTTTCCCTAAACCTAAAGTGGCAAAATACCGAGCAGTTGCATGGTGCCATACTCACCTATTCAGAGGTCATCCTCACCTTGGCTTTTGGTTCCTTCCAGCAGCTGGTGGTGTCAGTGTAGGGAGCCCCAAATTGTGGGGCCTGGGATAGTAGGCCTGATTTGACCTATCCTGGGCACAGTTCTGGCCACTGCTACCAACAATAAATGCACCATGTTACACACATGCATGCATAGGATCTGTTCTCCACCTCAGAAAAGGGATATGTTCAAGCCTTGTACCTTTTTGAATTATCCGGGAGCTTGGGGAGCCTGTGTTCCCCATTGCTTTCTGTTTGGCAATGATGTAGCCAATCAGAGCTGGATTGCAAACCAATCAACACGCTTTCCTCTTTTGTTGTGATCGTTTGAAATTTGGTATTCTTGCATTTGTCCTGATGAGCACAAGATTGATTATGTCAGCACCTTGTCAACAATATTCTGTGCTTGTTTTTATCACTTTCAGCAGTACCTATAAAAGTTAAAAATATTTAGGTTAGCTGACAAAAGGCCAAGAAGAGTTCCTATTTCATTTAAAAGTTCTCGTAATCTTTAACAGGGAGCACACTGCTGGTGATAAGAACAGGACAACATAAGCCTATGAAAATATGCCAATTTGAAAACATTTTGCATCTCGTGAAACTTAAAATGTTTCCCTTCAGCAAAATTTAAGTGTTCTAGTTAGCTTAAAGATTTTAATCCTTTCAAACACCCAGAGATTAATAAGTAGTCATTATTTTGCTGAATCAAGGTAACAGACTGTCTCTGCTTGTTTCCTCCCAGTCTAAATTAAATAGCCTCATATTTGACCAGTTTTTATTTAATTTGTGTAAGCATTCAAAGGATTGCAGATTGAATGGACTGGCAGACTGTGAGAACATAGACAAGGACACGTGCAGTGTTGTCAGGCTGTGTCACAGCTGCCACTTATGACAACATTGGATTGTGGAAAGTGAGCATTGATTGTTAGACAGCTGAGGTCTCACTGCACAAACCAAACACAGTCACTTCTGAATGAAGTCTGTCAAAGTTTTTAATGTTTGTGTCAAGACAGATTCTTGGTAAATATTCTGGGGCCGCACAGTGGCTCAGAGGTTAGCACTGCTGCCTCACAGCACTAGGTACCTGGGTTCGATTCCACCCTTGGGTGACTGTCTGTCTGGAGTTTGCACATTCTCCCGTGTCTACGTGGGTTTCCTCTGAGTGCTCTGGTTTCCTCTGAGTGCTCTAAGTTTCCTCCTGCAATCCAAGGATGTGCAAGCTAGGTGAATTGGCCATGCTAAATTGCCCATAGTGTTCAGGGATGTGTAGGTTAGGTGCATTAGCCACAGGAAATGCAGGGTTACAGGGATGGATCTGGGTGGGATGCTGTTTGGAGAGTCAGTGTGGACTTGTTGGGCTGAATGAACTGTTTCCACACTGTGGGGATTCTATGATATTCATTCGCCACACAATTGTATTATTTTACATTACATCACTACCTGTTCTTTAGGGTGACATTCTGTAGCACTAATGTTTGTGTTGATTCTCGAAGCTCCCATTTCAGCTTGTTCCTTCTCTTTTTCCGAAGGTGCTACCTACCTGGATAATGGGGTCAGCTGTGGCTCAGTTAGTAACAGACTCACCTACGAGTTATAAAGTTCCATTTGAAGTCCCACTTCAGAATGCGCGTACAAAAGTAGCACAGAGAGGGGATGAGATGTGAAATGGTGGTTTCATCTGCCTGCTTGGATTCTATGGTGCTAATTCAGAGAAAACTTGGGGGTGGAGGTCTGGTGGGAGAGTTCTCCATACCAATATCTATCCCTCAATCAACATCATAACAAATAGTCATTATCACAGTGCTACTTTGGGAACATGCTATGCACAAACATGGCTGATGTGACTCCTACATTACAATAGTGATGATATGTCAAGTGTATTTCTTTGGCTATAAAGTTCTTTGAGATGTATGGTAGTTATGAAAGGTGCTTTATCAATGCTAATCTGCTTCCTGGATACAGCTCTACATGGAACAGAAGCATTGATGGTGAGCATGGACAAGGACTTTCTTTTCTTTCCCCCTTCCCTCATCCAGGGAGTTTCCGCAGCCTAGAGCCGGGGTTATACCTGGGAATATCTTGTCTTTGTACCTTCATAGGCATCCGTGGTGCAACTACACACTCAGCCCTACAAGGGATTTCCACAATAGTTTTTACACCTTTCCTTTTTTACTGGTATGAATTGGTATCTGCTCCACTGTATTTTACAGTGTATTATCCTCTGAACTCATCCTCAAACCTGATGTCAGTGTGGAAATCAAACCTGGTCACCACTGTACATCATTCCTGACCAACATCTGGCAAATCTGTTAGTAGGGGAAAGTTTCATTTCTTAAAAGTTATTGATGGTGTGAACTTGAGTATTGCTGAAAATGTTTATTTAAACTTTTCTTCTTATACTCACCAGGACAATTAGCAAGCATATCAAAGTAAAGGGAAAATGCCACTTATGCTGTATAGGAAGAGAGTCCTGATTGATTGGCATGTGAAATTTGAATGTTAGAAGAGTTGCTGTAGATGATGTACCAGTTAATGATGACTAATAATTAACTGTCAAAGTTTGTTTAAATTTTAATCTAACTGGTCAAGTCATTGCCCTGTGAAATGAACCAGAGAATGGCTATCATCTGAAACAAAAACAAAATTGCTGCAGAAACATAGCAGCTCTGGCAACATTTTGGAGAGAAAGCAGAGTTAATTTTTTGGGTCCAGTGACCCATCTTTCAAATTGATTGTAGGTAGAAAAAGACAGGGGATGGAGGGGGAAAGAGTAAACAACAAGAGGAGATGGAGCCCAGGAAGAGAGAACAGTAGTTGGACAGACAAAGGGATGATAATGCTGAGCCAAGGAGAAATAAAAGCTGCTAATGGGGTCCATTAGTGGATGAAAATGGGTTGGCTGTGATGAAAGCAGCCAATGTGATTACAAGACAACAAGGTGCAGGGCTGGATGAACACAGCAGGCCAAGCAGCATCATAGGAGCAGAGAGGCTGACGTTTCGGGCCTAGACCCTTCATCAGAAAAGGCTGGAAGTGGATATGAAAGAAGATGCTTAGACTCAATTATTGAGTCCTGAAGGCTGCAGGGTCCCAAAGTGGAAATTGAGATGCTGTTCTTTGAGCTTACACTGAGCCTCACTGTCATCTGTTTTCTTGCATTGAAACAGGCACAGTGAGAGTAGATGTTTCCTCCGGCTACAAAGAATAGGGGACTATGTATTATAAATATTAATATATATACATAAATACATAAATATATATATATTTATAATACATAGTCCCCTATTCTTTGTAGCCGGAGGAAACATCTACTCTCACTGTGCCTGTTTCAATGCAAGAAAACAGATGACAGTGAGGCTCAGTATAAGCTCAAAGAACAGCATCTCAATTTCCATATGATATATGGCTTTCAGTACATGCAAGTTCACCATTCTGTGTATTAGTATATGTAGCGTCCAGTACATGCAAATGCAAGCAAACTCAACTGACAGTCGTGAACTGATTGTCAGCATAATGCTTTGCAAACTCAGCATTATCTAGCAAATGTTGGCCAATTGTGGAATCACATCTGATGTTTCACACTGTTGTGAGTTTTGCAAATGCTGGCTGGCTTTGGTCAGTACGTTGCCTGTTGTGAACAACTGGAGAATTTTGTTGTTTGATATGATTTACCAATCTTTGGGACATTTGGCCTACATACGTAGCATCACACCATCACTGAAATTCATATACTACATTCCTGATTAGTGTGAAAAGCTGAACAACTTTTTGGCTTGATGGCAGCATCCTGTTAGTGATGATCACAACTAATGTTGCCACTATATAGAAACAGAATGAAACAAGTTAGCTTTAACTTTTGCTGCACACTTTGATTACCCTGGAAAGATAAGGGATCTCAGAGATAGTCTTGGTAAAACTTATTCATCAAATATTGTTACCTGCTCATTATCACATTGCTTTTAATGATCGTTGCTGTGCACAAACTAGATGCCTGTGTTTCCTACAATGCAACAAAGAGTATGCTTCAATAAGTATTTCTAGACCTGTAGAGGACATTAGTATGTCCTGAAGTTGAGAAAGGCCCTGTAAAAATGTAATTTTGACTTAAGAACTTGACGAAAAGGACATGCAGAGATTGCCATTCCAATGGTTCATTTCATGATACAAGGCCATAGGGTGTGAATACAGGTTAATGATGACCACATAATACCTCAGATTATACACAGTTAAAAATTCCATCACAGAACTTCACAAAAGGAGCCCTATACTTCTTTCTCTTCCTGGATTAAAATTTAACCAAGTACTTCATACTAATATTAACAAAGTGTGATTCTCTCATTGGTCATGGAATAAGAATGTAATTATTTAGAGGGGCAGTGAACTTTGGAAAAAAATAACATGATGCCAATTTGTATTGAATTTTCTGTTTACAAGGTTTGAGATTATTTATAAAGGGAATAAGGAAGTTGATTTCCTTTAATTTTTAATGTCGTAATTTCAGAGTGTTCTGACCTGCAGGATGGTTACATGGGAACACATCTTAATCAATGTACTTTTGCTGGTATAGAGTTTATTTTACTGAATGTGTTTTTTAATACAGTTGTGATTTTCATGGTGTTCTAAATGTCTTTTTGCACTAAGTGTTAGGATATGGTTTGTCATCAGAGTGATGTCAATTCCCATACTGGTTAAGGTCACTGTGAAGTTCTTGCCTGAGATGTGCAGATTCTCAGGTTAAAGTCACCTTCAGTTGTCTCTGTCTTGAATGAGAGAACGGCCTGTGGTCCTTTGAGATTACAGGAACTTTCATTTTTTGCAAGTGTTAAAAGTTCAGTAAGTCAATGTCTTTGAAGCTCCTCTAGGAAGTTGACTGATATTAAGGATGAAATTTAACGTAAGCTCTTGCCAAAGGGAGAGCCGGCAATGGACCTGGGATAGGAGCAGCACTAGGGCTTCAGACTTGCCCCACTGACAAGAGCCAATACCACCTTTCTTCTAGAAGGCCCACTGTATTAAATTCCAATCAGGCACCCCACAGGGCAGCAGTGGTGGGTGTTCCCCGCAATCAAGAAGATGTGGGTGGGAAGGAGGTTCCACCCGCTGAGAGCATCTGGCCAATTAGAGACTGGCAGCTCAACATTGTTTGGCCACGCCATTGGTTGGTAGCGGCTACTGTTGGTAATACAGCCGCCATGGCCAGGGTTGCTGAAGGATCTAGGTCACAGATGAATGATGGTTGAAGAGATATTGTAGGGTAGACTTTGAGGAGACAGGGTATCGGCAGCAAGAGCCGGGCTTATGTGCATCACTCACTAACCCCAGTCTTTCTCAATGCTGGGCTGTTCGATCAGGCACTGAGCAACCACAAAAGGGTTTACTTCTTGGGCTTCCCACATGGCGAAACCCCTGCTTACTGTTGATTCCCAGCAGCACTGAGATGAGGTCCTCAAGTGGGCATTAGTTGCCACTTAAGTGCCTCAGTTAACAAAGAAAGTCTTCTTGCTACAGACTTAATTGCAGTAAAGGCACAAAAACATTATACGTGCCCCCCCCAACCCGGCTAGATTAAATGCTGTCATCACAAAACTCACCAAGGGAGTAGGCATCACATTCTGCCCTCTGTGTTCCATAACTCTAATAAGCATCATGAGCAGTCTGGGGCACATAATTTGGATGCTGCTTTGTAACTATTATTGACTCTTGAAGAGATCAGTTGTAGACTGTGTACAGTATACCTGCAATAGTTGTGATTTGGAGGCTTTACAGCAAGAACAGTGCAGATTGACGAGAACAGTGGTCTCTTTTTAAAAATTCATTCATGTTATGTGGGTGTCGCTGTATGGGCCAGCTTTTATTGTCCATCCAAATTGCCCCTTGACAAGGTGGTGGTGGTGAGCTACGTTTCTGAACCCCTGCAGTCCATTTGGTGTAAGTATACCAACAATGCTTTTGCGGAGGGAGTTCCAGGATACTGACCCAGCGACAATGAAGGAATGCTGATATATTTCTGTTGGGGCGGTGAGTGGCTTGTAGGGGATCTTGCAGGTTCCCATGTATCTGCTTCCCTCCTTCAGGATCACAGTGGTCATAGGTTTAGAAGGTGCTGTCAAAAGAGTCTTGGTAAATTTCTGCAGTGAATCAGATGTGGAGAAAGTGAAAGTTTGTGGATATGGTGTCTGAAAATATTAAACATTGGATAGAGATAGTTGGATGGAAGTTCTTGTGAGTATTTTTTATTTATTATTGTGGTTTGAATTGTGCATCTGACCAATCAACAGACTCCTATAGCTTTGGCATGTCTTCTATTGTCAAGCGGCTTCCAACTAATTGGTTGCCAAGTAACTTTGACCTGGCCACTCTTAACCAGGACAGAACCAGCCTATTATCAGATCCAGAGAAGAGTACATTCAACTCAAAATGTTAACTTTGTTTCTGTCTCCATAGACACAACTAGACCAGCTAAGATTTTCCAGCAGTTTCTGTTTTTACATAAAATAACTTTTTTGGTTAATTTAAAGGGAAGGATACAGTATTGAGAGATGAAGAGAACTCTGGTTTCTGAATCTTTGCTGTTTGAATTTCCCCCCACTGTAATGTGAATATTTCCCTCCTACATCTGTGTCCCTGCCAAAACCAACGCTACCACACAACCCCTCACCAACGCCACGACCCCCAACCCCTCACTACCACCTACCACCATCACCAGCACAACCCCATTCCATCATCCCTAGCCCCAACCACTCCCTCACCCCCAACATCACCACCTAACCACCCCCACTAACTTTTCAGCACCCACCAACATAATGCTTACCCCTACATCCACCTCCATCCCTAGCCTCCACAAATCCACCACCCTCACCAACACCACTACCACCTTTCTACCACCTCACTACCACCTATTTGATTAGCTCAGTGCCTTGAATTGCTGAATAACCACTACCAACACTGGCACCAGTGTAACATGCAGGACAGTTTAAATCCTTTCGAAAGGAATTGAATGAGAATTTGGTTTATGAATGGAATTCAGATAGTAGCAAAGCATGGAGTTATTGGGCAGATTTACTGCTTCACCTAATTCAGCATCTTAAAATGTACATCTCATCATCATCTTAATAAGAAATGTTGAAGGAAGCCTGTTGGAGTTGCTCTGAGGTGATTCCTTTTATTCCTGGTCTTGCAGAAAAGAAGTTTCTTTGCTGTCTACACTATTTCCATACAGATTTTAATAAATTGTTCGATGCTAATAAGTGGAACCTTAACCAGGATGGTGCAGACATATATTGGGCCTGTGCTTATCTCTGTGAACCCATTCAAACAGATGCCCTACTTTGGAGAAAAGGAAATCGAAATGTATCAAGGAGCAGTGAGTATACTTCACTCGGCAAAAAGTGGGAGATTTGAGAAAAAATTGGCAATAACAGTTGCTCGGGTGAAAGATGTGCCACACTGGCCAATAGGAGCCCCAGATTAGGGCCTGGCCAGGACTATGCTACATGCATCAGAATTGGCTTCAGGTCCCCAAAGCAGCAGAAGGGAGATCAGGCACAGTTCCTGCTTCTACTCGTGATGTCTCTACAGTGACCTGTGTTGGAAAGTAGTTAGGCATGTCATACACTGGGAGGCTTCTGCTGCTCATAGTAAAGATTTTTGCACATACTCTAAACATAGCTGAGACTTGTTCAAAATAGTAGGAATTGTCATACCATCTGGCTGATGGTGTAAAGTGCAAAAAGACAATGCAAGGCAGTCAGGGATGCTGTGAGTGTCAAGGTAGGCTGAGTGAGTGCATGCAATGACAGCAAGCAAAAAGCCTGGAGGTGAAACCTGATCTAATCCATGAGCTCGGTGCATAACCCTGTGTGCAAAGTGTCCTTGCTGCAGCCTTACAATGATGGTTGCCAGTACAGCAGTGAAGTGCAGGAGTAACATGTAAGTGGACTGGAGATGAGCCATGAGGGTCCTTATGGCTCGCACATGTCAAATGCCAATGTCTGTGGACGTAGGGTGTATGTGGTCAGTGCCCATGGAGTACTCCCTGAGACGTTGGGACCCAATGTCCAACATGGAAATCCTTCAATGCACATGATGATGAGCTGAAGTTGCCAGGTATCCGCTGTGATATCCATGTCGCAGATTATCAGTATCTAGCTTGTTCAGCATGTTTGGTAAGATAGGAAGCTGAATATTAATGAGGTGATTTGGGTGCTACTAAGGCATTTAAAAGATGTAATACCCCTTAACTGGCAACTCACTGATGCCTACCAAAAAATTTGCCATACCACTCGGCAAACGCCTAAAAGGTGCAGAACAAAAGCTCCCAATGATGAGATAGGCTTCGCCAGACTTCTCACCTGATTCTTCCACAAGTTTTACCATAGCCCACATTACTCGGGCCTCTGTAAGATTCCATCCATGGTATTGTCTTGAGTTTGTAAATAGCAGTTCAGTTTTAATTACCTACATGTGCAGTAATTTAAAAGGATCAACTTGGGGCAGCCATGGAGGTTGCTACTTGGCTGTGCAGTTTATAGGGATTATTATTGAGCAGTGTGTACCCTGTAATATTACTCCAGCTGCTTCAGAATATCTATTTTTCAAGTAATTATGTATATGCTATTTTCTTCAAACCTGATCAAGTCCTTTGTAGTTTCATTCTTGAGGGGATACTATGACATCTTTCATGCATCATGACACATTATAAGGTAATCAGAAAGCCTTTTGGGCTCTTCACAGCATAAGTAGAATGTTATGGTTTTGAGAATAGAGCCTACCTGACCAGGTGGTTAAGAATACGTTATGCATACTTGCCTTTATTGCCCAGACCGTGGAGTATAGGAGTTGAGACATCATGTTGAGGCTGTATCATCATGTCGGTGAGGCCACTTTTGGAGTACTGTCTACAGTTCTGGTTGTCCTGCTATAGGAAGGATATTATTAAGTTGTGGAGGGTTCAGAAAAGATTTGCCAGGATGTTGCCATTACTGGAGGGTTTGAGTTATAGGGAGAGGCTAGATGGGCTGGGACATTTTTCTCTGGAGCATAGGAGGTTGAGGGATGACCTTTTAAAGATTTATAAAATCATGTAGGGCATAGATGAGATTAACAGCAAAGGTCTTTTCCCTAGGTTGGGTAATTTAAAACTATGGTGCATATTTTTAAGGTGAGAGGAGAAAGATTTAAAAGGGACTTGAGGGGCAACTTTTTCACACAGAGGGTGATTCGTATGTGGAATGAACTGCCAGAGGAAATGGTTGATGCAAGTACAGTTACCACATTTAAAAGACATTTGGATAGGTACATGAGTAGGAAAGGTTGAGAGGGATATGGGTCAAGTGCAGGCAAGTGGGACTAGTTTAGTTTGGGAAACTTGGTCAGCATGGATGAGTTGGACTGAAGGGTCTGTTTCCGTGCTGTATGACTCTGACCGAATACCCAACGTGGCAGTATAGTTACTGACATTCTCTGTTTAGTCTCACACATGAAAGCTCACTGGAGCGGTAAGAGAGGGCTATCAATATTGATGAAATCCTATTCCAAGTCAACGTGGGCAGAAAAAATAAAGTAGAATTCATTTCAAAGAATATTTTAAATACTGTTGTGGAATGGGTAAAAGTTGTTCTACTTCTACTCAAAATATAGTTTACCAATTTGCAATACAAATTGGAATGAATTTTTTAATTAAAGAAAACCTCAAAATAAATACTTGGGGAGGAAAAGACGTGTAAGCATGTGGGGAAAGAGCAGGGGAGTGGAACTAATAGGATAATTCTTTCAAAGGGATGGTACAGGCACAATAGGCATTTCCTTTGAAATCTTCTCTATATCTTTTGTTGATGATGCACATTTATATTTTTCTATTTCCATCCCTTCCTCCTTCCTATATTTCCATGATCGTACTATTGTAACTTTGTCAAGTGCTTAACTTTGCATATCTTAATTCATTCTCCTAACCCTGTCAATTGCTTATTGCTGAATTGTACCATTTCAACTTGCTGAAATACTTTTTTTTCTGTTTTTTGACATACTTTCCCATCATGCAGCACAAACATGGGTTACTTAAAATTCACTGCTTTAGTTGAATGGAATTGAAATGACTGGATTAATACCTTGTTGAAATAACTGAGAGGAAAAGTAAAGTTGCCACAGTTTCACTGTCTCATTAGAGAGAAATTAACAGGTGGTGGTTTAACCTGAGAGTCACCACGCCTCAGGCGAAGGAGAGATTGAGAAGGAGAGTCCTTCCTGGTAACCTCAGCTAGTGCAGGAACTGAATCCATGCTGTTGGCATCACTATGTATTATAAACCAACCACCCAGCCAACTGAGCTAACTGACTCCCAGTGGAGAGGATATGTTAAGAAACTAGGCCTTGATTTGTCACAGTTCAATTACAAGAGTTTTTTAATCAGCGTTCAAGATCAGTGTTCTTGACTTGTTAGATCTTTTGAATTGAAGGTCCCCTTGGATTTAAGGCCCCTTCCATATTAAATTTGTAGTCTGGGCCTCCATCGCTTAGTGTCCTCCATCTGATTAAGTCTTGAGTGGGCATGCTTGTGGACATTCTTCCCAACAGGATGCTAATTAAGGCCAAATGTGGGTGATTTATACCAGGTTAAGGCCCTCATCCTGCTGCAGCTGACATTCACTGAGTTACCACATAGCACGATATTAAATTCTGCCATTATTTCCTGGTCTTCGTTTCCTTCAGACCATGCTATTTAATGCCCAGCTTCATTTGTTGGTGACTGGGCGCCGTGGGAATTGCTTATGGGATTTGTGTCTTCCGTATCTTTGTTCTTCCATTAACATTGCCTCTTTCCCCATAATCTAGGCCCCATATGAAAATCCACCTCACATCTATGCTCTGGCAGATAACATGTATCGGAACATGATTATTGATGGGGAAAATCAATGTGTCATCATCAGGTAATCCAATATGTATACTTTTTTTTGCAGCTGAGTAAAACATAATGTGAGGATTTTTTCCCCTTTTTGATTTGTAACCGACTAACTCACAAAAGTTATCCACTGGGTGTTTTTTTTTCTAGCAGCCTTTCTCTCTACATGACTCATTGTTTTTTGACGTGACCCAACACTTAACAGCTACAAAAAAGCTTGGTTTCCTCACAGTCAGGTTTATTCCAGTGACATAATCGTTGTATTTTGTGGGGAATGAGTTTTCTCTTTGCATTATGCAAATAATCGATGGTAATGTATAATCAATAAAAATGCTTGCACCTAGGAGATTTCCTGGTTACTTTGTTTCCATTCTTGATGCAAAGGAGCTATTTTGTTTCCTTTGTATTTTTCCTTTTATGGGCTTTGATTAATTATTCAAAGCATTAATTGTTACCACAGTGCATTTGAAGAGAACACCTCCTAGGCTTTCATTCTGCTTGAATCCGAGTCCTTTTACTCTAGAGCTGTCCTGGAGATCTGTTTCTGTCAGCATTTACACTGCGCCTGATTTTTTTCATTACCATGGCAACATTTTAGCCCCAGTGTGATGAGTGTGCATATCTACACTCACATGCTGAAATCGCTGCAGGATTCAGTGAGTGATGGGCGAGGCCAGTCTAATCCAAGACTGCCCATTGCCCCAGTTTTACAAAAGTCAATTATAATGCAACTTATGTTGTGCCCTATTCTGTCCAGCTGTGAAAAGTGGCACAATGTGAGACTGGAGAAATTGTGTGCTTGTTAATTATAATGACAATGTGTGCATTGTTTTTTAGTTTTAGGGAAGCTCTTCTATTGTAAGATCCTTGAAATAGGAGCCACCAACTTTGCCCTTGTGGGACTTGATGACTTGCTATTGAAGACATCGAGTTGCATGAATGTCTGTATGAAATCAGTGTGTCAGCCACTGTTGTTTGTATTATTGTGAAAGTGTACCAAACAATAATGTAACTGAATAACCTGTAAAAATTCCACAATGTCACAGACAGACAGGGTAGTGAAGAAGGCATTTGGTACACTTGCCTTTATTGGTCAGTGCAGTGAATATAGAACTTGGGAGGTCATATTATGGCTGTACAGGACATTGGTTAGGCCACTTTTGGAATACTGCATTCAATTTTGATTTCCAAACTATAGGAAGGATGTTGTGAAACTTGAAAGTGTACAGAAAAGATTTACAAGGATGTCACTGGGGTTGGAGGATTTGAGCTATAGGGAATGGCTGAATAGGCTGGGGCTATTTTCCCTGAAACAGCGAAGGCTGAGGCATGACTTCATAGAGGTTTACAAAATATTGAGGGGAATGCATAGGGTGATTAGCCAAGATCTTTTTCCAAGGGTAGAGGAGTCCAAAACTAGAGGGCATTGACTTAAGGTGAGAGGGGAAATATATAAAAGGAACCTAAGAAGCAACTTTCTCCACACTGAGGGTAGTGCGTATATGTAATAAGCTGCCAGAGGAAGTGGTGGAGACTGGTGTAAGTACAACGTTTAAAAGGCATCTGGATGGGTGTATGAATAGGAAGGTTTACAGGGATTTGGGCCAAATGCTGGCAAATGGGACTAGATTAATTTAGGATATCTGGTCAGAATGGACAAGTTGGACCAAAGAGTCTGTTTCTGCGTTGTACAACTCTAAGTTCTCTATGACTAATTTTGGCTAAAGATAGATGGGAAGTTGTGTGATCATGATGACTTCATTAATGGTGTGTATGAGTGATAGATCATGAGTTAAGACTCTCGTTTTTTGGCTGTAACTTGCATGGCTTCTCTCTGAGGCCTAGCGGGTTTTCACACTGCATCTTACCAAACCCACCTCAGTAAACACATATCCCGCCCCTGTGGTGCTCATCTTATCCGATTCTAGTCCCATTCTACCATTCATCTTGACTCTAACTGCAACGAGCAGCTGACTGATTGTGTCCAAGCCCCTAGACTGATATCAGAGGCTGCCCTTAATTTACAATGCCAGGACACCTTGAGTGAAGGCTATCTCCCTTGATTAGACTAAGGACTGCTAACAACCATGACAAGCTTCCTGGCTTTGTGCCTGCACTAAATTACGTGGCAATACAGCAGTACTGTCAGCCTGGTATCCCTGGTTAAGGGGCAAGGTGGCACGGTGACTCAGTGGTTAGTACTGCTGCCTCATAGCACCAGGTTCGATTCCAGCCTCTGGTGACTGTCTGTGTGATGTTTGCTCATTCTCCCTGTGTCTGTTTGGGTTTCCTCTGGGTGCTCTGGTTTCTTCCCACAATCCAAATATGTGCAGATCAGGTGGATTGGCCATGTTAAATTGCCCATAGTGGCCAGGGATTTTTTAAAAATTTATTCACAGGATGAGGGCATTACTGGCTATGCCAGCACTTATTGCCCATCCCTAATTGCCCAGAGGGCAGTTATGAGTCAACCACATTGCTGTGGGTCTGGAGTCACAAGTAGGCCAGACCAGTTAAGGATGGCAGCTTCCTTCCCTAAAGGGCATCAGTGAACCAAATAGGATTTTTTCCCAACAATCAGCAATGGATTCATCAATAGACTCTTAATTCTAGATATTTATTGAATTCAAATTCCACTATCTACTGTAGTGGGATTCAAACCCAGGTCCCCAGAACATTACATGGGTCTCTGGATTAACAGTCTAGTGATAATACCACTAGACCATTGCCTCCCCTTTGTGCAGGTTAGATTGATTAGCCATGGGAAATGCAGGGATACAGGGACAGGGTAGGGGATTGGATCTAGGTGGGATGCTCTTCAGAGGGGTCTTGTGGACTTGGTGGGCCAAACGGCCAGCTTCCACACTATAGAGATTCTGTGATGAAGGCAAGGCAAGGATGCTGTGAGCAGCAGGGTAGGCTGAAATTGAGTGAGTGCTAAGAGAGCAAGTAAACAGCCCAGAGATGTAGTCTAGCCCAGTCCATGGGCTGGATGTGTCCCTGAGTCCAAACTGCAGCTTTGAGGTACAGAGTAAGTGGATTGGAGATGTGCCATGAGGGATCTTAAACCCTTGCACATGTCAGGTGCCATGGGGTTTATGTAGCCAGTGCCCCTAGAGTTTAGCCTAATGTGTTGGTACCTGGTGTCCAGTATGGAGGTTTCTTGGAGTACATGGCAGGCTGAAGTTGCCAGGTACCTATGTTGACTTCCCCGTTGAGAATTCTTGGCATCTAGTTTGCTCATAGCAGGTGGTGCGCATTAACGACACAAGATCTGCAGTTATTAAGCCATTAACAAGCAATAAACCCCCTTAAATGGCAACTTACCATTGCAGGTGACAATATAGCCTTAATGGCTGGAACTCAGTTAAAAGATGAGTTGTTCTCGACATCGACAGGGACCTTGCTGGACTTCTTGTATGATCCTGCCAGATTTCTTTGTCGTAGCCCACATTGTTCAGGCCCTGGAAGATTACACCTGAAACTTTTATTTAATCCTTTTGCAAATCAGTGTTTTTTTCGTGCTCCCTTTGCCCCTCCTTTCATAGCTCAATAAAAAGAAAGATTGCTGTAGCATTTCATTAAATGCTTTTGAAAACATCACATCAACTTCTTTGACAAGAGACAACAAGGTGCAGGGCTGGATGAACACAGCAGGCCAAGCAGCATCATAGGAGCAGAAAGGCTGACGTTTCGGGCCTAGACCCCTCATCAGAAAAGGGTGAGGGCAAGGGGGTTCTAAAATAAATAGGGAGAGAGTGGGAGGCGGATAGAAGATGGATAGAGGAGAGGATAGGTGGAGAGGAAACAAACAGGTCAAAGAGGCGGGGATGGGGCCAGTAAAGGCGAGTGTAGGTGGGGAGTTAGGGAGGGGATAGGTCAGTCCAGGGAGGACGGACAGGTCAAGGGGGCGGGATGAGGTTAGTTGGTAGGAGATGGGGGTGCGGCTTGAGGTGGGAGGAGGGGATAGGTGGGAGGAAGAACAGGTTAGGGAGGCGGGGACGAGCTGGACTGGTTTTGGGATGCAGTAGGGGGAGGGGAGATTTTGAAGCTTGTGAAATCCACATTGATACCATTGGGCTGCAGGGTTCCCAAGCGGAATATGAGTTGCTGTTCCTGCAACCTTCGCGTGGCATCGTTGTGGCAGTGCAGGAGGCCCAGGATGGACATGTCGTCTGAGGAATGGGAGGGGGAGTTGAAATGGTTCGCGACTGGGAGGTGCAGTTGTTTATTGCGAACCGAGCGTAGGCGTTCTGCAAAGCAGTCCCCGAGCCTCCGCTTGCTTTCCCCAATGTAGAGGAAGCCACACCGGGTACAGCGGATGCAGTATACCACATTGGCAGATGTGCAGGTGACATCTGCTTGATGTGGAAAGTCTTCTTGGGGCCTGGGATGGGGGTGAGGGAGGAGGTATGGGGGCAGGTGTAGCACTTCCTGCGGTTGCAGGGAAAAGTGCCGGGTGTGGTGGAGCTGGAGGGGAGTGTGGAGTGGACAAGGGAGTCACGGAGAGAGTGGTCCCTCTGGAAAGCAGATAAGGGTGGGGAGGGAAAGATGTCTTTGGTGGTGGGGTCGGATTGCAGATGGCGGAAGTGTCGGAGGATGATGCGTTGGATCCGGAGGTTGGTGGGGTGGTACGTGAGGACGAGGGGGATTCTTTTTTGGTTCTTATTGCGTGGACAGGGTGTGAAGGATGAGTTGCGGGAGATGTGGGAGACACGGTTGAGGGCGTTCTCGACCACTGAGGGGGGGAAGTTACAGTCCTTGAAAAACGAGGACAACTGAGATGTACGGGAGTAGAATGCCTCATCCTGGGAGCAGATGCGGCGGAGGCGAAGGAATTGGGAATAGGGGATAGCATTTTTGCAGGAAGGTGGGTGGGAGGAGGAGTATTCTAGGTAGCTGTGGGAGTCGGTGGGCTTGAAATGAATATCGGTTTCTAGGTGGTCGCCCGATATGGAGACAGAGAGGTCCAGGAAGGGGAGAGAGGTGTTAGAGATGGTCCAGGTAAACTTAAAGTTGGGGTGGAAGGTGTTAGTGAAGTGGATGAACTGTTCAAGCTCCTCATGGGAGCACGAGGCGGCGCCGATACAGTCATCAATGTAACGGAGGAAGAGGTGGGGTTTAGGGCCGCCCCACATCAACTTCTTTCTTCAGCAATATCAGCATGCAGTGTTTGCATAAATAGTCATCGACCTGAAACATTGGACTGGATTTTCAAAGGGGTTGGGTGGACGCTGGGATGAATTCTAGGCCCTGACCCAGCATTGGGGTGCATCACTCTTACAAGGCAATTTTTAGGTGCAGATGGCACAAGTGATCACAATATGAGTTTGGTGCCAAATTAGTGGCAGCGAGCAACTCCTGCAGCATGTCAGGCAGCAGCAATATTGGAGGTTGCTGCTACATTGTTAACTGGAGGCAAAAACCCAGGAGGTCAAACATAGTGGAGAGTAGCCATGGCAGACAGGTTAGAAGCAGTGCTTGTGCTGGTGCTAGTTGGCTCGTACACATTAATGAACAATCATCAACTCTGAAGAGACTTACTTGGGCCCCATGGAGAAACCCAACAACTGTACATGAGCAGACTGTTCTGCCTAGCCAACAGAAACATTGAGAATTACGGTATCAAGTACAGAGGGTGCTGAACAAGTTCAAGAGCAGTTAATTGATGACAATTGATGTGGGATCGCAAAGCGCACCACATCAAAAACAACCTGCCATTCCTTTAAAAATTGAAAACTGCCTTGGAAGCATTGGGATCTCAAGGACAAACTTCTGCCCCAGTTCCCTAACCCTTTCATAATCCAGCCTGTTAGCTTGATTTTCTCTCCACTGATGCTGTCTGGCCTGCTGAGTATTTCTAGCATTTTCTAGACTTATTTCAGATTTCCAGCATCTGCAGTATTTTGGATTTATATCGATGCAGTTTTTTGGAGCTTTTTATGCTGTAGTGCCGATGGACATTTTTCTGAGAGGTCTAATGGGGTAATAACGAACACCCCAGAAAAGGAGATTTTGAAAGGGAGTCGTGGTGGAGATGGAGCAGAGCGGAATGAAAGGGAACCACTAGGTGTCAGCAGCATGAAGGCTAGACAAAGAAGTTGGAGATCAGTAATGCAATTGTACATCAGGTTAGGTGAGCAATTTGAAAACAGCAATTCATTGAAACTATTCATAGAATCCTTACAGTGCAGAAAGAGGCTATTCAGCCCATCACGTCTGTACCAACCTGCCAAAGAACATCCTATTCCCATAATCCCACATTTCCCATGGATAATCTGCCTAGTCTACATATCGCTGGACACTTTGGTGTAACTTGGCATGGACAACCCACCTAACCTGCACATCTTTGGACTGTGGGAGGCAACCAGAGCACCCAGAGGAAACCCATGCAGGCACAGGAAGAACATGAAATCTCAATACAGACAGTCACCCAAGTCTGGAGTTGAGTGCCAGAATTGTTTTGCTTAATTGAAAATTTGATGGCTCCCACAACAATAACACCACAGTTGATCTGTGGGTGTTATACTTCAGTCTTCAATCAGATGCCACATTTTTGATTGACACGACGAAATAGATTTGGTCACTACTCTTAATCTATCTGCTTCTTCCTTCTGACACTCAAGTAAAGCATTCCATACTTTTCATTAAATAATATTTCCAAATATTTGCAATTTGTTTGTTTCAGCATTGAAATTAGCTTTGCAGGATTACATTTCTGTCATTTAAGTCATTCTTTTTTGTAAAGTCTTATTTCTACTCCAAAGCCAGCAGGTTTAATAACATCTTACAATGGGCCTCCTTAATTTCTGCAGTACCATAGAAGGTCCAATCATGATTTTATTTGTGTACAAAAATCACAATGAAATGAATGAAATGGAAGCCATTTAGCAGAGTTCTGATTTCTATAGTAGGAAAGCTTTTTGGGTGTATTGACAGAGGAAAGGGTGAGAACAGGAAGTCATGCACTGAAGATCAGGATGTGATTAATGCTGTTCAGTCATCTTGTTCAGGAACTCTTACTATGCATGAGTTTGGAGCAGTTTACAGGGAAAGGATTTTTAGAAGTGGTTTTGCATTTACGAGAAATTTTAAGTGAAACATGAGGAAGAAATCATGTCCAGCATTTTGAAAACTTACCCAAATCATTAGATGCCAACAGAAAACTTGATACTGTAACACATACAACTTACAAACTGGCTGCAAACAGGAATTGAAAGCATCTAATCACAGCTCTGCTGTATCAGGTTATTAACTAATCAAAGAGCTTGGGCTGATACAGGGCTTTATCATGTTGGTGTGCAGCAAATTTTCTTAGGGTGTATACGTCAACATGCAAACAGGGAGCTGGTTCGCTACGCAGCTAAAGTGTCTTTTCGAATTGTGGCAACAATACAGGTTCAATTCCGGTAATGGTCAGGTAGACTTGGAACTTGCCTTTTGCACCCTGCTCTGGAAGGGGAAGGCATTGGCAAACCCACCACCAACAAAAACTACCAAGGAAAATGTTTCAGGCTGAAGCAACAGCAGGCAGTGAGCCAATGACCCACCTTTAGGTCAGATGCTTGAGGACACACCATTCAAACGGCACTAATATGGACCATTTCGTAGCACCAATGGTGTCAGTAGAATGAAGTGAGAAAATCCATATCGAAAGATAAAAAAGAGTTTTCTCGGCTTGTATTCCTACAGTTGTTTATTCTAATAAGGAAGGGTGTAGTTAATAGTGTGACAGCTCAGAAGCAGCACCTTTCTTCCCACTGAACAACTATTACCGCCAACTCATGAATTGGCTGAGCGGTGGAGTTCCCCTTGAGCGAACTACCTCTGATCACTTGACCTCATCATCAAAAAGAATGTGCATCTTGCTGTACTGGCATATTGTATTGGCCTCTATTTCCCTTCCCTACCCTAATAAGAACTAGGAGCAGGAGTAGGCCGTCCGGCCCTTCGAGCCTGCTCTGCCATTCAATAAGATCATGGCTGACCTTTTCGTGGACTCAGATCCACTTTCCCGCGTTCTCACTGTATCCCTTAATTCCTTTACTGTTCAAAAAAAATCTACCTTATCTTTAAAAACGTTTACTGACGTAGCGTCAACTACTTCACTGGGCAAGGAATTCCATAGATTAACAACCCTCTGGTGTGTCAAATGGCATGTAGCCATGGTACACAAACTCGACATTTCATTTCTCTTTGGAGCCAGCCTGCAGACTCTTCACAACAGCAGTCGTGGGCTCCACAATGGTCATCAAGCTCATCAAGCATAATCAGCAATTGTTTCTACAGTAGAACTACTGATGGATTCTGGTCCAAGCACTGAGAACACTGGAGAAACTCAGCATATCTGGCAACATCCGTGGAGAGAGAAACAAACTTAACATTTTGAGTCTGGTATGACTCTTCTGTTGCTCTACACAGACCGAGACAAGCACATGTAGCAGTGGGCAGTGCAAACACAAGGATTGATCTGTCTTCCTTTTTTCTCTTCAGTGGTGAAAGTGGGGCTGGAAAGACAGTGGCTGCAAAATACATCATGAGTTATGTCTCCAGAGTCTCTGGTGGTGGGCCCAAAGTACAGGTAAAGTGACATCATTTTACAGCCAGATCTAATTACGCCATGTTTTCTTTTAATTTTTCATGCCAATATGCCGCTGCATGGATGTTTGCATTTTCCCAGAAATTCATCGAGTTCATGTTGATTTCCTCCTGCCTCATTAACATGGATTTGTCCAGAGGCCAGAAAATGGTAACTTCACAGAATTGCTAAGGCAGTGAAGGAGGCCATTCAGCCCATCATATCTGCACAATCTCTTCTATGACCATTCCACTGCCTTTTCCTTATACCCTTATGTATTGTTTCTACTTCAATAATTTTCCAATGCCATCTAGAAGTTCATGGTGTTTGAACCCATCAAAGACTTTGTCGATTATGAATGCTGTGATCGGTAATTCTAAAATGTTCAAGAATATGAGTTCTTGAGGACTCTCTATCAAGGCTTCTCAGCTGCTTGGATTGATTGTGTAGTTCCCCCATCACCCGTGTTATTGTGTGGCTGGAAAAGATAAAGTTCATTTCAAGATAATGAGGAAGTATTTCAGACAGAATTTTCTGTGTGTATAGAGAAATATTTTGTTATAAGGAGGATTTCTTTTTCCTCTGTTGCAGCATATAAAGGACATCATTCTTCAATCAAATCCACTCCTAGAAGCATTTGGGAATGCTAAGACAGTGAGAAACAATAATTCCAGCAGATTTGTGAGTTCCAGAGGCCGTGTCCTGTTTTGACTGTTAATATCCTGTGGGTTTGGCTGGGGAACTCTTACGGAAAATCTTCATCTCCAGTAATGTTTGGTGGTTATTTCTGGTTTGATCCTTTTCCTCCAAGTGCTAAATTTCCATTATAGTTTGGAGCAAGTGAGCATGGTTCTCATTATACCTCATCTCCCAAACATTACACTTTGTGAATTCTTGGCCAGACCAATTTTTCTGTCTGCAATGCAGCTTGCTTGTGTGAGCTTTACCCTCTGACCAACAGTCTAACAAAGTGAACTTTACCCAATGGTTAGCAGCATTTTTATTCCAAGATGTACTTGACCATGCTTCCAGAAAAGAAATAAGGGCAGAAGTAACTATTAGTATCATAGTATCATATAATAATATTGCTGATAACAATTTCTAACATGCAAAATATTTTCTTCAATCATTGCTTATACTTATAATAAGTTATTTATTTTTATAATTCTGATATTTTCCTATGAATAGAACAACTCTCTCCTTTGTTTTCTGAGAGTACCAGAAACTAATATGCTGTTTGAAAATTAATTATACTTCATTTAAATGTTTAGCGTCATAGAGGTTTACAGCCTGGAAACAGGCCCTTCACCCCCAACTTTTCCATGCTGCTGAGTTTTCACATTTAAGCTAGTCCCATTTGCCTGTGTTTGGTCCATATGCCTCCATATCTATCCCATCCATGTACCTGTCTAAATGTTTCTTAAATGATAAAGTTATACTCGCCTCCACCACGACCTCTGGCAGCCCGTTCCAGATACTCACTACCTTCTGTGCGAAAAAAGTTGCTCCTCTGAACCCTTTTATATCTCTCCCCTCTCACCTTAAACCAATGCCCTCTAGTTTAAGACTCCCCTACCATGGAGAAAAGGTTTTGGCTATCTACCTTATCCATGCCTCTCATGATTTTATAGACCTGTATAGATCTCAGTCTCCTATGTTCCAGGGAAAAAAGTCCCAGCCTATTCAACCCCTCCTTTTAACTTAAACCTTCCAGTCCAGGTAGCATCCTAGTCAATCTTTTCTGTGCTCTTTCTAGTTTAATAATATATTTTCTGTAGTAGGATGACCAGAACTGCATGCAGTACTCTAAATGACCTCACCAACATCTTGTAAAGCTGCAACAAGACATCTCAACTCCCTATCCTCAATGCTCTGACAAGTACTCACTTAAAAAATGGTTGAGATTGTATACTGTATGCTTTTGACCATCAGCATTGAAGCTATATCAATTCTAGGTGTGTTTGTATTCGTCTACAAAGTCTGTACATTTTCTTACCAATGCTGTGATAGTAGGGCTAACCCCACATGTAAACAATGTAAGACAAATCAACTTTGATGTAGGCAAAATAAAACGGAAATAATTCAACTCCAACCCTGTCAGGAGATATACCTAAGATAACAAGGTGTAGAGCTGGATTAACTTGGTTTACATGTCAGTACCTAATAATTATCTAGGTCCAATTCGAATGCAGTCTTATTGAAATGAAAGGGCTCAGCTATTAGCCAAGCACTGTCTTCTGAGCAGATCATTTTTATGGCTGAGAGAATTTGTATAAAAAATGTACGTATATAAATACTCCCTTGTCCCCTGCTAAAGCTTAAAGGTGTAAGCTGGCTGTACAAACATGAGTGTATGGGGAGGGGGTTATTTTTTTCTGCTGTTTAACCTGATGAACAACAGAAGCCACAAGCCTCGAGCTTACCTGCTGGAATTAGCTGCTTTCCTCCCCAGTGGCCCCTTCTTCCCCCCACTAGCCTGGGTGTGTGGAGTCACCGCAATTGTTGCATCAGCTAATACTAGTGAACAGCAAAACTCAGAAACTCAAAACTGGGACAATTCATGTCTGTACAGCAGCGGTTTATTCATCTATATTAGGCAATCGAAAGAGTTGAGACAAGAACTGCCTCGAATTATACGCCAAGTTTGTTTCTGTCTTTTGCTTTTGAGGGAGCATACAAAACTATCTTTCAGCATCATCTCCTGAACTCATTTCTTGACTATCATTACTGTAAAAAAGAAATTTTGCCGGTCCTGAGTTGCACTTTTTTGTTGAAGTGACTCTCAATAGCCTTTTGAAGGAAAGAGCAGACTGTAGTATCAGTCTCATCATCTTGTGCTGTCTTCTCTGACTGGAATCTGATCCAGGTCTGAGGTGAAGACGTTTGGCACCTCCCTGATGAACATTGGTGAACCAGTGGGTTTATGCAGCTGTCATCAACATGCATGATAGCTTTTTTGGTATCAGCCCACAAATTACTGAGCTATTGAATTCAGGTTTCACAACTAGCAGGAGTGGTAATGAAGCTGGATTAACAACCCAGAATTTAATGTGAACCTGTGATTCCACGCTTGTGGTTGACTGTTTGGTGCCTTTAGGGCAACAGGGATGGGTTAAGAAATGTTGCCTCACCTGTATCGCCCACATCCACAAGAACAAGTAAAAATTTAAAAAAAGATACAAGATAAGTGAGCACAGTAAAGCTGCAGTTTAGCAATTCTGTTTCCACCACAAGTTGAGAGGCAATGCTATGAATGAAATAAGAAGGCATAGAGCAGAGGGACTCTTGGATTTAACAGCCTGTGCATTATTACCTACATCTTGTTGCATATTGGTTTCAGCTGACTCTCCAATCCCTAGTTAAAATAAACTGTTTATTGTACAACGAATACAGGGAAAACAACAAAAGATACAGAATATTTAAAAAAGGAATAAAGTTCAAACACAAATTAGGTTTTTAGCAGACTTCACTGCATATTTAACTGATTGCAGGCAGAGAAAAGAGCATGTTATGTAAACAGTCAAAGGTCGAGTGCATTCTGAGCATGTTTTCAGTAACTCAAGTACATGTACAGTGAATTGGAAAATGGCAGGCCTGGTAGTGTTATTGGAGACCTCACCCAGCTTTTTAAAGATCAGAAACTGAATCTAGAAAGTCAAAAATAATATGTTTTAGTGTGTGGGTGACTGATGAATCTGCTAGAGGAATTCTATAATTTTATTATAGAGTGCTACGCCTTTAATTATTGGAAGCCTAAGTAAAAGGAAGGAAAATGATGACCAAAAAAGTGGAATGAAATGCAGGAATAGAGAATGCTGTAAAACAAGAGATTGATTGAAAAAGTGCAAATTGTGCACATGGAGAAAAGTAGTCAGCTCAATATATATGTTCTCTATAGAAAGAAGTAATTATCTGTCTGTAAAAAATTGCATGTAATAAAACATCTTTTGGAGGTTATATATTCCCTTTTACAAGTTTTACTTCACTTGATGTTGATAATGCAGTAAATGGAACCATTTTGAACTTTGGATTCTTAAAAGTTTGCAAATGTGACTATGCTGACTTTTAGAAGTTATAAATTAATGTAACATTGTGAGAAGAAGTTAGCAATGATACACTTTGTGAATTCTGAGAGAATTCCAGTGGGGAACAAGAATCTCAATATTCATTTGGGGTGGCATGGTGGTTAGCACTGCTGCCTCACAGCGCCAAGGACTCAGGTTTGATTCCACCCTCGGGTGACTGTCTGCATGGAGTTTGCACATTTTCCCCATGTCTGCTTGGGTTTCATCTGGGTATTCCAGTTTCCTCCCACAGTCCAAAAATGTGCAGGTTAGGTGGATTGTCCATGCTAAATTGCCTGTAGTGTTCAGGGATGTGTAGCTTAAGTGGGTTATAGGAGGATGGGTCTGGGTGGGACCCTCCAAGGGTCAGTGTGGACTTGTTGGGCCGAAGGGCCTGTTTCCACACTGTAGGGATTCTGTGATCTTCTATGATTTAATTCAGAAGGTTATTTCATTTTGAAGATCCTCTATATCCTATCTTTCCAATCTCTCCGAGGTATGCAGATGCTGATGCATGTCGATAGTATGCATTCCTTGCTTCTCCAAATGAGGGAAGAGATGGACAATAACTCCAGGTCACTTTTGGTCATGTTCTTGTAGCCAGCTTTAGAGTGACTTAGAGTTGTTCTTGGAGGAGATTATTTCTGTTCTTAGTGTGGGCTGATGCTGATAGGACCCATAAGTTGTTTATTGAACATGTGTGACTTCCCACTACAGAGGATAGTTTGTGTCCAGTCAGACAAGTTGGCGAGATTACAGATCAGCGCTGGACCAGCAAGCTCTTGCTTTATTCCTGATGGCTTGATCTGCTGCCCCATCATTCCCTATATGAATCCAGCAATGCAATAATAGCTCTGTACCATTCCAAATTGCCTTTTTAAAGCCAACGGCGAACTCAGGTTTCTAATTTTTCCAGCAATCTGTTTTGCATTTGATCCAACGCCCCAGGGAAAATTAAAAAATCTTCTCATCTTTAATCTAGCCCAAATAAGTTGTATTTCCAACATCTGTGCTCACTGTTGAAAATAAAAGATATGCTCACCTGAACTTCATCCATACATTTCCATCATTCTAAAAACAAAATCAGTCTGATCCCTTATTTCAATAGTCGTTTCTGTCCTGAGAGGAAGTTTCTGTTTGCCTTTACATGCTGCACCTGTTACCCAGCACAGATTGGATAACAGGAACTTTATGTAAATCAGTCTAAGACCAGATGCATCTGAACCTTTTGCTTGGTCACAAGGTTATCTTTCACAGGAAAGCTCCTGATCATGTCAAATGAGTCTGAAGGAAGGAAATACAATTTTTTAATTAGGTGCCTTGAAGCAAATTGCCGGAAGGAAAGGAAAGCATTGTTAAAATTAATAAAGGATGAAGAAGGTACAAAGTCTGCTCCAGCTTGAGTTTGCCAAATGTAAAAGGAAAAGAGGGATTCAGTGCTATTTCAGACATTTTTTTTCTCTTGTCTAACAGTGAGCTTTGAAAATCAAGCCAAACTTAACACACAAGCTTGTGATTTGAGACAGCATTCTCTGGTTAACAGATGATTGGTAAAATTTTAACTGGGAAGGTAAATCATGAAGAAGCTTACTCACCCTTTTACTATCTCTGGTTGGC